CAGGTCGATAACCAAAAAATATGTATGACATACAGTGGTTGAAATCAAGTTTTCAAGACACGGATGCCCGATAACATTCCAATCAGACAATGGAACTGCTTTTGTAGGAGAGCTTACTAAGGAGCTCATGAGAGGTTCTCATGTAGCTCATGCTCATTCTACGACTTACCATCCTCACCAAATGGAGGAGGGCGGTTACTTGATGATGAACTCTGCTTGCTAAGTCAATGAGAGAGGATCCTGGGAAAAGAAAAATAAAAATGAGTCACTGGAAGAAGGAACAATCCCATCGTTGGACCTGGATCCTAATGAAAAAATTGAGGCGGATAACGAAACCTTACACTATGCAGACGAGGACTGGGAAAACCCCGAGCAGATAGAAGTTTTCAGGAACATGGAACCGGATCTACCCTTTTCGATGCAGACACGACAGAGTGCCAGGGCAAAACCCGCAAATTCCCCTTACGGAGACGACTTCTTAGTGGACAGGATAGACCTGAAAAAAGTAGAAGATCTAGAGGGGTCTGGAGGAGATAACCGTGTCACAGGAAGTAGACCTAGTAGAATTAGCGTCCTGAGCAGATCGTAGAGGACAAAAATGAAAATGAGCTTTGCCTACTGCCCAAAATAACAATGAAAACATTGGAGAAGAATTGCTAGCGGAAACACGAGCTGATAGTGGAAGCTGCACACGCATAAGCGATTAGACAAGAAAAAAGTATTAACACATAAAGACGATAAAAACCCATTCTTATGGACCATCGAATTCTCACTCACCATGGGGTATACTCAATCAAGAATAATGGAGGGCATTTCAATAATCAGAACGAAACGGAAAGTTGACGGCCGAGAGGTAGACACAATAGTTCACAAGAAAACTATAGAACAAGAGGACAATAAAAATAGAGAGAACAAAGAAGTACTGTTAAAAATGCGGAAAAAAAGTTGGGCCAAAATATCATGAAACATGTCCAGCAAAAGACAGACGCTGAAATATATGAGCAGAACGTGGATAACGATAAATTTGCATCTTGAATTAGACAAAAACGACCTGGTCACCAATGCAGTTTTTTCACAGCGAACATTTGATGGGAGGAAAGATAACGAGAAAATTTTTTTGGTGATAGCAATAACAGAAACTTTTGGGATGAAACATCTCCAAAGATTCATGTGACGGTCTAAACGGTCTTTTCGCATGTCGAAAACAGACAACTGAAAACATTGCAAAGTCGGGAAGTCCAATATCCAAATTAAACGATAGAATATACCAAAGTTTGCGAGCAAGCAACAATGCAGCAAAATTTTAAAATATCCCTCCAGAACACACAGCAAGGCCTACTATAAAGGACAAAATATCATTCCAAAAAAACTGATCGTTGAAATTGAGTTCTATAGATAATCAGAAGTTCAATCAGAAACTTTTACACTTGTCGACGAGCAAAAGCAATTGTTATTGGACAAAACTTATCACCAAAGTGTGGTACCATTTTTGTGGAAGACAAACCTAAACAGAACCAAATTTTAAAAATTCGAAAAAAAAATGAAATTTCATACACAGTGATCAAATAACGTGTCAAGGATAATCTCCAACAATTGTCTGTACGATTTGGAACTGCAAATAACCAGGCGATGCAAACAGAAACTTTAAAAAACGCAATCTCCTTTCAAAAGAAGAAGAGATGGATACAAATTCAATTTCAACTATGGGTGGAAAAAATTAAACAATTTGATCAATTTTGAATTATTTATTAAACTGGACAAATGCTTGGTTTAACGAATCATATGCCTAAACGTGGTCACAGTAAACCAAAAAATCAAAAAAAATGGAATCCAGGAAGATCAACAGTTCCATCCACATGAGTACTATGTGCCATATGATCTGATCAACTACTAAGGGACAACAGTGCACAAATCGTTGAAACAAACGGTAGAAAACACAGTTGTTTGTTCACCAAAAAAAAGACTTACGATACGCATACTCAAACATCATTTTGGATGAAAAAAAAAACCAGTGCAACTTCAGCACCATTGGAGGAAAAGACTCATGCACATACCAATTTCAAACAGGATTTTACGGGCTAACTGAGAAGCCAGCGAATTGCCAAAAAGAACAGAATTGACAAAGATATAGGTGAGATTTTGATAGTTAGAAAAAGTTTAGAGGAACACCATATAAAAACAAAACGGAAGAAATTTTTTTAGAAACTTGTTGAAGAAAACTTATCAATTTCACTGATCAAATGTCATTTTGCATCTGAACAATTACAAATTAGTTGTAAAATAGCCAAGACACAAGACCACTTATTGAAGAAACTGAATCAAAAAATTCAAACAACAAAAAATTTAACGGATCAGTTCACCACCCACAAGGTATATACTACAACGAGCTCAAACAGCAGCACTGCTGCGACCTCTTCTAAAAAACACCGACAAATACAAAACACTCGAAAAAAAGCGGAGCAAAGCACAGTGCTTAAACTCAAATAACAGAAAACGAAAACGTCTTCTGAGACCAACCTTGATCTATCGGAAGTAGTGTCGGCAATCAGTTGCATAAATTTTTACGGGGGAACATTACCGTCATTACAAACCACAGGTACTAATCAGCTCAATACACGCAAGCGAAAACCATAAACCAGTGAAACTAGGCTAACGAGATAGATTGATAGATTAGTCTCTTTCAATTTTGTCTCCAATTGTATTTTATGTCTAAAATGAGTCACTTTTTTTGTGTCCTCTTTCATCTTTCTGAACATTTGACAAAATTAAAATGGGACTGATTACATGTCGGAATATCCAGTTGGAGTGGAAATAGTGAGCATGATGTAGAGTTTGTTCTGGCGTCAATTAACTTGTTCATGCCCAATCACGAGATGATTATCAAAATTATTTTAAATTGTTTAGCCAATCAGAATTGCGCATCGAATCAATTGATCAAAAAGTTAGCGGAAAACGAAAGAAAGCTAGCCAAGCAATTGAAGATTCACTCGAAAGCGGTCGAGCAAACCATATACAAACAATCCACTCGTCAAACAACTATTCAATTCAAGTCAAAAACTGATTAACCCAACTGAAAAGATAAACTTGATATTAACCCAACGCGAATTGAGAAGGCAAAAGCACTACACAAGTTTTAAAGGGGATGTAACCTAAATCTAGCCAGTGCGAGGTGGAATTAGAAATATAAGCAACTTGACGCGAAAGCCTGACAAAGTTACAAAATGTGACAGATGGCGGGGCGACTCATATAGGGAGGAAAATCTTGCCGACCACAGGCTTAGAAGAAGCCCAGCAGAAAAGAAAAAGGAAAACCTAGAAATGTAGACACAAACAAAAAAAGGGAAAACACAACAAGGGAAGACACCATGCAGCCACCCCAGTACCCAAAAGTTTATCAAAATTGTGAAGATTTGACCATCCGAATCTGAGGCGTCATCATCAAGCGACGACTGGTGTCGTCCAATTCAGATAAAACGGCTCTATTACCAAAACGAGCTGAGAAGAACACGATCTGGGGGGGGGGGGGGGGGGGGGGGGAATTCGTGTAACCCGGTCCCAATCAACCAATAAAGGCCATTGAAAAAGGAAATCGAGGAAAAGAAGAAATTTGTATTCGAATCGCCTAGAGATAGGAAGGAGGAGAAAACTAGTATCAAGAGCTTCGTTCGTACACGAAATGCAATTTATTGAGAAATTGCCTGAGTTCCAGGCATGCGTGGAATTTTGTTGAGGCCAAAAAAGTGTCACCAATCGGCAGCCAGGACAGGGTGGTACTAGTAGTGGTAGATATGAAACACTATGACTCAACAGACCGACACAGGATATGAAGACAACAAGATAGTGAGAATGGCCGCAAAACACAAACCATGGAGAAATGTAATCGATAGAAGACAGCAAACACGGAGTAAAGCGATGCATCAGGCGAGCACGAGAAGAATCAGGAAGAAAAAATTGAACAACAGGGCTCGGTTCCGACTAACACACAAACACTCAAACCCCATGGGGATTGTAAAACTCAAGTTCGAGTCCCAAGCAAAAAGTAAAACTCAAAAAGTTAAAACTTAGGTTTAATGGCATCCAGCGGGACAGTAGCAAACTTCTGAGCGATGTTTATATAGCAGATTTAATTATACCGGTCTAAGTACTTTGATTTAAGTTAGATATCTGATACCCTTGGTAGGGAGTCAAGACTCACAGTGTGTTAGGCTTTGTGATATCATTCAGTTGTTTCTGCATAAGTGAGAGTTCATCGTTTTGCCAATCTGTTCGGATTCAGGAATAGAGATTATTATACATGACCGTATGACATTGATGTTGAATTATTGACTTGGGCAATATAGTACAAAAGATTCGATCTATAATTTCTTCTTGGAGGTACTAAAAATAAATTAGCAAAATAAATTTTCAACAACAACACCCAGCTTTCAACGAGCCAACTTCATAGAAACTGTATCTAAAATGAGAAGCATGTTCAAGTAATCAAGAAAATTTTTTAAATCTCAATTTTACTCATGTGCATTGAATGCAACGGGATCGAATCAAGTTTAGTCATTCACAGAAAATAGAATTCTCTTTTATTAGTGTATGGGTTACCGGCAAGATAAATTGACGTTTTTTTATTTCGTACAAAAGCGCTGGCAGGTAGAAATCATTTGCGAAATTTGAGACCATTTGCAAAGTAATGGGTAACACAATTTCATCCCAATTTCGGTCAAAAAAACTAATTTTGAAACCAATTTTTCGGCACACTGAGAGATGTTTTTCAAATTTTTTTCCCCAACATCCTTAACTATCCTTTTTTCAGCAAAGAGTGTTAGCTCGATACCACATTCGATTACTTGCAACGAGCTCTCGTTGAGTTATTTGAAGTTGCTTTAAAAGACTCTACCGAGAGCAAAAACTAAAATATGAAGACAAAATCAAAAAAAGTTCAGTCACCTCAATTATAATTTTTATGATGATTCGAGATTCAAATGCTGCTTTACTGAATGATTCCAATGTGCTGTGTTGCTTTAAAAACCAGCAGTCAAACCTCTTTAATTATGTATTCGGCCTTTTTCTAACAAATACTGAAGTTTGACGCTCTCTTTTCTAAAATTACACTCAGTTTAACCGCTCAAACACAAAAATGAAGCCATTCAAAAGGTAACCGACTTGCTGAGTGTGTAAATTAAGGACAAAAAGTATTGGCCAGTTGAGCTGGAACATTTCCTCTAAAAGCCATTAACACAAGCGCTAAAAATTTAATCATTATGAATTTGCCTGCTTGCTGAAGATATCCAAAACTGCTATTTTTAACAGAGTTCTCTCAAAGTCCCTTATAGGGAAAATTAAGATGCGAGCAAAAATTTTTTCGCGATTGGCCTTCTTGAGACTTTTTTTGATACGCAAAACTTTAAAGTTGTCTGCCCACATTCACAAAAAAATGCTAGTCATAGAACTCCCATGATACAATTTGACCATATAGTTGATCACATATTGACCATTTTTCCATACTTGCAAAATGTATGACTAGCGCTCTTCCATCATGAATTGTTTCTTCATGCATAAATAGAAATTGTTTTGATTGAATAAATTATTAGGATCTTATCGAAATTGTGACTAGAATTTTACTCATATATGGTAATTATGTTTAAGATTCCATCAGATTCGGGATTGGCATACTTCAAGAGGAACCCTGTTTGAAGACTGTGAATTCCCTGCATTCGGAGCTTCGATTGATCCTGCCGATTCCGACTATTTTAATAGTGACCCGAGCGTTGTATGGCTGCGTCCCAAAGATATTTTCAAAAAACCAGCTATGTTTGTTGCTGGAGCAGGCGCAGGAGATGTTTCTGCAGGTGAATTCGGTAAGTGTTTTTTCTTCAAAATTGAAGACAGAAAGCATCATTTTAATGTTTATAATAAAACTCGAAAGCTTTTCCAAGAAAAAAGATGCCAACTTTGCTCTTGATTTTTTGACGACTCTCGAAAAAGTGAAATGGAAGCAAGTTGAGCTTTTTCGGCCACACACCTCTGTTGTTTTGCATATACAATACATACTACCTTAACGTTTAACTTAATTTTCTTACTTTTTAAATACCGGTGCAATTGAAACAATTCGCTCAAGATTGGACTGACTTTTGCTCCTGCTTTTGGCCTGGATACTGAAAACAAGTTTGTCACCCATTAGCGGACTAGTTAACTGTCCTTCCTTGAAAAGCATACAGCGCGGCAACAAAGCCCCTAGTCGTTTTGCGATACTGAAAAGGACTCCAAATTTCTAACTAAGAGAGGCAGGAGCAAAACTGATAAGTTGCCCTGATCTTTTTAATTTTTGATTTTTCAAACAGATGCAAACGTCAGTTTCACTAAGAGTGTGAAGTAAAAAGAAAAAGCTGAGAAATAGACTAACCTGAATCTTCAAAACTAACTTTTTCCCCACTCGCTCAGTGGGGTTGAAAAAATTTCCTTTTCTCAATTTATTACTGTATTTTATTTTAGTGAAAAGTCTTTTGTAAAAATTAACGTTACAAAACTGACAGAGATAAAATTTAAATGGTTTCTTTTAACTGAAAATTTTATTTTTATCATTAATACCCCAACCCTATTTTTGTTGTTCAATCATTCCTTATTCATCCATCTTTGTTTAGACACTCTTTTTATATTTTTATCTGTTTATATGAATAACAATTTAACTCAAGGTAATAATCAATTTTGATCTATGATAAAACCTAGTACGAGACTTAGGCCTTATTTTAGTTACTAAGAAAACCAAATTTCTACCAACCAGCATTGTTTTTTTTTTCAGCAAACCGCAGAAATGATTTACTGGAAGTCAAGTGCAATCATACAAACTCACATAATAATAATTTTATGTTAACGCAAAAGCATTGGCAATTTCGAAGATCAATGACCTTGAGTTTCTTAATTTATCAAGAACTTGTTAGATTGATTGTTTTCTTCGATAATTTTATGAGCAAAAAATGAGTTTAATACGTTTTCCAGAGTTAATTAGACAGTAAAATATTTGCCAAAAATCTGGCAATAGCTATAACGCGATTGCTTGTATCGGAGCAAAACCGTAAGTAATTCATCCGCGAGAGTCTATTACTAGCGTCTATACTGTTTTTGTAGTCTGTGGAGAAGTATTCGGTTTTAAAAAAAATTCTGGAAGTTTTTATAAAATACCATACCCCACACGTTACGTAAAACACAAAAATATCGTTTAAGAGACACTTTTTCAAAAAAAAGTTTAAGATCTTCCCCAACACGCTATCTAAAAAACAATTTTAGGTAAGTACAAACCAATAACTGTATAAATATGATAACAGGTAAAATGAGTTTATTGGGCTAAACTTGAGTTTATACAACATTTTTTGGATAAAAAACTGCTAGTTAAAACAAGCTAGCTAAAAATCGAAAGTTGTTTGAAGAAGAAAACAGACCGAGCAGAGTTATTTCATCGTTTTCATCGAAGGTCGAAACATTATCATGACGTCATAATTGCAAATTGAAGAAAAACTCAGTGAGCTCTTTTCTCTTATAGAAAATAAATTCGATGGACTATAACTTGCCTCTCAGTAGAATTTTTTTGAATCTGATGTTCATTAGATAATAGAGCGGCTTCGTACAATCTTGAATTGTTGCTCAGGATGTTTTTGGATGTTTGAAATGCAAAAGCTGTAATTCGGTATTTTTGCACTACTTCTCCATCGGCCATAAGCGCGGCTTTCAGTTTAGTATTAATTGTAATCGTGATTTTTAATCCAAAAAGTATATAATCTATCAGAGTAATTTCTTAATTGATCACGGTGTTGCTTAGTTTAATTGGTTTTGTTGAAACATTTTATGACGTTGTAATAGCAATTTAAGGGTAAACGAGCTCGTAAGTGAGCTCTTTTTTCTTTATAGATGATCGTTCCGATGAATTATAACTTCCCTCTCAATGGTGGATTCATAATATTTGAAAAAAATTTTGAATCTGGTGTTCATGAGATAATTTAGTTGTTTTGTATAAACATGGATATTCATTCAGGGATGTTTTTGAGTGTTTGCATTCTAAAAGATGTGTTCTGGATTTTTGCACTAATTTTCCATCGGATATTTGCACTGTACTCAATTTAGTAAAAATGGTGATCGTGGTTTATATAACAAAAATTGTATAGTTCAAAAGTTATTTCGTAAGGCATTTTTTTCTTTATCAAAATCTTATTCGATCACAGTGCTTTCCAGAATATTTTTTTGTAACAGCTTGTACCAGGGCAACATTTTGAGTATTTCGATAGTAAGAGTCTGTTTTTAGAGTCTATATCTTTTTTTAAAGTCTATGAAGGAGTGATCGCTTTGAAAACAAAATGCTAAAAGCTTTAAAAAAATTTTGAGTTTTTTAATATACCATTTCTGAAACGCTACGTAAAGCTCAAAACATTACAAGACTGCGGACATCAAGGCCATAAATGTCTGTGAAGTTTGTTTAAAAACAAAAACATCCAGAACTTCATAATAGTTTTTTTTGCCAAAACATTGACAATATCAATGGCTTTGAGATTTTTAATTGACCAAAAAGAAAACTATTTAGATGAATTGGTTTTTTATATAAATTTTTTGTGCAAAATCAAACGTAAAAAGTATTCCAACGTAAAATTGACCAAAAAAGATTTTGCCAAATATTTGGCAATATCTCAAACTCGACTGCGTGCGTTGGAGCAAAACCCTAAAAGTTGCGGCATCGAGAGTTTTTTATAGACTCTTTGTTCTGTTTAGAGTCTTTGGAGTTGTATTCACTTTAAAAAAACTGCTGGATTATCAAATAAAAATTGAAAATTTATTGTCTCTTTATCCGAACGCCGAAGTTGAGAATTAAATTTGAAGTTATTGTTTTTCATCATCTGACAAAGTTTGAAGTGAAAATCATCTTGGTCTCGCAAAAATAGAAATCGAATATCAAAAAAAGACATTTCGAGGGGGACTCGAATGATCAACAAATTGGTCGAGTATCAATATATTGGTCAAGCGCATATCTTTGAGTAAACAAGTCAAAAAGTTATTTGAGAAACTTTTTGGAAGGCAAGTGTAAAAAAGGGCTAGCGCAATAGCCAAAATTGCCTCTAAGAAAATGTAGAAGGTGACCGAAACTAGGTGCCGTAAAATAGTATTGAAGGGAGATTTTGAAGACTTTTTTGGGTCGCAAGAGGGTGGAAATCCTCAGAAGGAGGGGCGTTTAAAGTTCTAGCTCAAATTACTAGTTGTAGGTAAAGAAGGGCTTAGGAAATTAGACAACAATCAAATTAGACGATCGAATTTTTCTAAAGTCACAGTTGTATAGTTTTTGCGTTTCAAAAACGCACTATAAATGTCCATCAAGCAAAAAAGTTCGATGGCCAGGGCTTTTATTGTCTAAATTTCAAAAGAGTTATCGCCTAAATTAGATTTTTTACGGTCGTCTAACTTCCTAGGCCCCAAAAAAAAGGAAATAAATTTAAAGAAACTTAGGCTGTCTTTTTGTAAATAATTACAGAGTTTTGAAAAAAAAATTATTTTGATGTTGTTGGGTTTTAGCCCGAGTAATTATGAACAAATTTGGCGCGAGTTATAACAAACATATAACGTGAGGTTATAGACTCATTACGCTAATAATAATTATAGTTCGCTCATTTAGGAGACTCAAACGTGGCAGCTGCGCTTTCCTTACTGCCCGACGACGAAGATAACTTCAACAGAGTATGTCCCAAAACACAGAACTTCAAGAAAAACTACTGCGGTGCATTCCAGTTCCATTTTTGGCAGTTCGGAAAGTGGGTCGAAGTCATAATAGATGACAGGCTGCCCACTAAAGATGGAAATTTAATGTTTTCAAAGTCGAACGACGAAGGCGAAATGTGGCCTGCTTTGGTTGAAAAGGCGTATGCGAAGTTGTTCAACAGTTACTCGGCCTTGAAAGGCGCGAGGCTGGGCGAAGTTCTAATTGACATGACAGGCGGCACTTTGGAAACGATCACGCTCAAAAAACAGTACAAGAACTTGTTCAAAAGGATTGCGACAGGCGTACAAGAAGGCAAACTGATGTCGTGTGTGATTGAGTCAACGTCGTCAGAAGACAGTGGAGAAATTTTCCAAGGGCTGGTTAAAAACCGTGTCTATGCTCTAACTTCTACTGATATATTAAGCCATGGTGAACTATCGGTCCCTTTGATTCGTCTCCGCAACCCGATCCAAGATAATCTTGAATGGAACGGCGACTGGAGCGATAAATCGAATCTCTGGGACTCCATTCCAGACGTGACTAAAGCGAAACTAGGAGTAGGATCAGCCAATGATGACGGAGAGTTCTGGATTTCGTTTCAAGACTTTTGCGTCCAGTTTAGCAAGATTGCGATTTGTAATAACAAAATAAACTCCGGTTGTGTCTCTGAGTTTGACGGCTGTTGGGTGAAAGGATTGTCAGCAGGCGGAAGCTTGGACAAGGAGACGTTTGGACTCAACCCTCAGTTTAGATTTGTGATAACAGAAACAGGCCAAGACAACATCATGTGTTCTGTTACGATTTCACTGATGCTCAAAACCCTTCGCGGCTTCGACAACTCTCCTCTAGCCATCGGTTATACAGTCTTCCCGATCACTGATGATGCGGAAGATTACATAGAAGACGGATGCCGCTTGTCGTCTAAATACTTCGAAGACCACAAACCGATTGCGAAGTCTTGCATGGGAAAGTTCGTCAATTTCAGAGAGGTTTCACAGACGTTTAAGCTGCCGATTGGACAATATTGTATAGTTCCCAGGTATCAGTTTGACTTAAAGGAGCAACAATTTTTAAAGGAGCAACAACAAGGTTACATCCAATAGAGGTTTTTTTTCTGGTTGTGGGTTATGCAAATCATATCAAATCAAACTGGATGATCGAAAAAGATGAATGATTTGAATGCGATTTATTTCGGTTAACTTTATACGATACTTTTAGCACTGAGACGGCAGACAAAAAGGGTGAATTCTACCTGAGAGTGATCACCGACTTTCCTAGCAACCACACAGATGGCGGAGAAATGAGATCGGCTCTCAGAATGAAAGGAGGCCGAGTAAAACAAATGTCGAAGTTCGACTCAGAAAACCCGGCAGATATTTTGGAGCTGAAGAACAAATTTGACCAGTTGGCTGGCGAAGACGGCGTAGTTTCTGTAGAGGAAAGTGGTGACTAGGATGACAAACTAAAATAAAACATAAATAAATAATTTATAAATTTAGTACTATTCAAGCAAAAGAAGGCGAAATGGCTAACAACCCCGCCTCGTAATCATAAGGTTGATGATTCGAGGCTTACTATGGTTGATGCTTGTCATACGTTAGCAGCTAAAACAATCCTTACACCACAAGTCAACAAAAAATGTATTAAAATTTTGAAGAAAACTTTTTGATAACCTCCTAATTTTGACAGTTGAACAGAAATCAAATCCATTTGAGAAATCATTCAAGAGTTTTTCAATTTCCATAACATAATCTGCCAGCATTTCTAAATTGCTCGCGAAACAATCAATAATACCCAAAACTACAGATCGATAGGTCTATTTTTACAAAAAATAACAAATTTTTTTCTGTTTTTTTTTCCTGATTTTTTTTTGACTTCATTTACTCAAAACGCACTTTAAAATGCACTTGATCTAATTAGTGAATGTAACTTTTAACTGGTCACTTCGACGTCATATGATGATTATCAGGAGCTGCTTGAGCTGATGGAAAGCATGAGCAAAATTGGTAGCGAGTTCCCCGAAATGGACAACGCATATGCCGTGATGGCCCTTTTCGACGTAGATGGAAGCGGTCATCTTGATTTTCAGGCAAGTAAAAACTTATTTAAAACAGATTTTTAGAGACAGGTAAAAATTCATCTACAATTCGAACACCTCGAACTCTTTTTAAACTTGAAAATTCTCTGTCAAAAACTTGTCTTAAAAAATAACAACTGAGTTATAATTTTTTTCTAGTTCAAAAGCGATGGTATAGTGTCTTCCTTATATTTGCTTGAATGAGTGATTTTTCTCTAGGAGTTTTTGAACGTTCACCGATTCTTACAAAAGTGCGAGAGAGTTTTCTTGGCTAACTGTGCGGAAAAGGAGGCAAATAATATGACGTCATTGGAATTGGAGAAGGCTCTGTCGCAGATGAAGATATTTGTTCCGAGAAAAATTCTGGGAATGGCAGTTGCCAGGTAACCTAAACTATTCAGTACTTTACGGATTATTGTTATAACCACTTCACTAATTAGAAACGAAAATTGGCATAACCTCATTCAGTTGCCATTTCTCCTTCTATAAAATTTTCTTTCTTTTTTAAATCAAATCCAAAAAAATTAAACAAACTCTACCAAAACTTTTTGTATCAAAGCAAAGTCGAAGGACTGAAAAATTTTACCGTTTTTTACAAATAAGGGAATACCTGTTAAAAAGTCTATTTTATAAGTAAAATTGATGAAGTTTCAAAAAATTGAACAATTGTCAGATTCTTACAAAATTTTCAGATCATTCTGAGATCCTTAATAAAGTACAGCAGGCAAAGTGATGTAGTTTAAGCCTAGCTAAAGTTCAAAAAAATATGCCTATACTCCGTTCAAAAATGACAAGTAAAAAGTTGAATTTTGTCTGACAACAATAACCACACCGCGCACAAAAATTCTATCCTTTCTTTAAAAGGTTGGTATCAATATATTAAAGATATTACTATTCCGTTATCAAAAAAGTCACCACATGAAAATTTTTTATACATATTCAACAATGCCAAAAACATGGGGCCAATTTTTTTAGCATGTCCCGGTTTTCGACAACAATTTGAACACTTTTTCATTGTTTTTTCATAGAGTAGGTTCCAAATCTGACTTCGAAAATGATGAAAACTCTAACAACAGAAAAAAATACCTGCATATTGTCAAATTGATTCAGATTGGTACGAAATTTTAGGAATGCTTCAATATCGTACAGTCCGTTTCGCTCACGCCATTCAAACTCAAGTAGGTAACTTGGGATCAGATTGATTTTTGACTCATAGACTCAGCGGAGGCTGCTTCTGACGCGAAACCAGTACTGAATATGTGAACGTGTTTTAATCCATTCCATTATTTAAATTAATTGTGTGTTTTTAGACGTTTAAGCAATTTATAATCCATTTCAATGATAAAATTTTTCGTGACATTATAATAAATTATAATCAATTATAATTGATCATTATTTTTTTTCGAAAATCTTTTATAATTTCTTATAATCGGTTATAACCTACTATAATCTACTATAATAGATTATAGTTCATTTTTTATCAAATTATTCCCTCATAAAAAATCAATTATGATGGGTTATAAGTTAGCTAGTCTGCATGGGTACACAGTAAAACCAGATTTATATTAAGTTTAAGCTGTAAGTACAAAATTACAGTTTCTTTTAGTTTATCAGTTCCTCTTATTCACGCACTTTTAGCCAGTCAGCCGATTTCAAACGATTACTGTTTGTATCAAGTAGGGTACACCTCCAGTCGACAGATGGGCGTAGGCAGGATGCACTTTCAGGTGACAGGTAGATGTAGGTAGGATGCAGCTTCAGGCGACAGTTGACTGTAGGAATGATGCACCTTCAGGTGACAGTTGGCTGTCTGTAGGATCCACCTTCAGGTGGTTGAGACATAAACAGAAGAAGCAAAATGAAATTAAAAAATTTGAGAAAATTATTTTAAAAACTAGCAAACACATCATGCCTCCCACCTAAAAAATAGAACCTCAGGGACACACTCACCCTCCGACAATCATAGGGGCACATACTCAGACGATCATAGATGCACACATAGGTACACATACTCAGACACTCACAGGGGCACTTATAGGGACTTACATTCAGGCATTCACAGGGGAACACAAAGGGAGACATATTCAGACACTCACAGCGGCACACATAGGGACGTTTATTCAGACACTCACAAGGGCGCACAGAGACACGTATTCACACAATGACAGGGGCACACATAGTGACACATAATCAGACAACCAAAGGGGCACAAAAATAGACTCATAATCAGACACTCACAGGGTCACGTGTAGGGACACATATTCAGACATTCACAGGGACACACAAAGGGAAACATATTTGGACACTCACAGGGACACTTATAGGGACGTTTGTTCAAACACTCACAGGGATACACATAGGGAAGCAATTTCAGACACTCACAGGGGCACACATAGGGAATGGTTTTCAGACACTCACAGGGGCACACAAAGGGACACATATCTAAAAACTTATCAATGTGCCACTATGAGTATGAGTCTTCAAACTATATGCTTTTACAGGGGCATGCCAATCGACACACATATGATACGCATCAAATAGTGATTTGAAACTTTTCAAACTTGACTGTTAACCGATAGTTTTTTTAATTAGTTTTAACAAACAACAGAATGATATGCATCAAACATTATTTCGAAACTTTACAAACTTGATTTTTTCTAGATAATGGTTTCTTAATGTATAAAACAAATTGATAGCTATATACTTTTGCGTAGCACATAGTAACAAAACAAAGGCAAACTCTGTGCTTATTTGAAAAGGTTATATTGGCGGGGAAAAGTACATCAAAGAGACGAGCAATTACGTTATTTAGCATATTTAATCCGAACGAATTTCGATTGTGAAAACTGGGTGTAGCGGCTTGCATGTGCATTTGGTGTGCATTCAGATGAAAAACAAATTAGCCTAATACTTGCAAAACTACTTGACGTGTTAAGTTTTCACACTCGCCTAATCGCACGCTGATAAAAATTGCAATTGTAGGAAAACAAAAATTGAATCATATGCTTTTTAAACTATATGCTTTTAGAGGGGCATGACAATCGACACAAATGTTAAAACGCGGTCCCTTGTCAAAACAGCAATACTAGTATCAGAATTTGTCTCTTTTTCCTAACCCCCACCTCACATTAGCATCGATTTTACAGTGTAACGAGAGGTTTTTTAAGGTTACGTATGGAGGCCAAGTATCATTGTCTTAGCCTAATTAATCCGCATACCCATTTTTGTAAAAATCGGACAATGTGAAGAAAAAATTCAGACTCTTTTCCAGTTCCCGCTTGTTTTTTTTTTGAAACTCAAAAAATGAAAATCTTCTTAAAATGACTTTTCAAGTCATAAACTGCATTAAAACATGTCAGCGCAAAAAATAAGTAGCGTTGGTATGGCCCTAGTCAATCTGTGCACGAACAGTCGCATAACAAAAGGGTCCATTATTATTGACCTTTTTTCCGATTAGACCTTTATAAAAGTTTTCACTATAACCATTACTCCTATACAGAGGTTATATTCTAAAACTTGTCTAACTCTTGGAAAATTGTGTAGATGATGACAATCAAACTGAATGATACAGATGACACAATCAAATATTGTAGATGATACAATCGAATCTAAAATGAAAAGATATCCAGAACAAGCATCATTATCTGAACCATCTTTCACCTGCAGGTGAATTTTACCTGCACCCACTTGTCACCTGAAGGTGCATCATCTGTACACCCACCAGTCACCTGAAGGTGCATCCTACCTACACCCACATGTCACCTGAAGGTGCATCACCCCAATGGCCAAATACGATAGTTTAATTTGTTCAAACCACCAACTGTCCACGCCCCCCCCCCACTCTCAACACAATCACTACCCCCCAGGTTGAAATTACTACCTCTTCCAGGTTGAAAAAAAACCACCAACCTTCCACGTCCCCCCACTCCCAACACAACCACTCCGCCTCCCATCACAACACGCCACCTCCTTCCTCTCCCCAGATTGAAATTTTTACGTGTATAATTATTAATTAATAACAACCCTCGGTTGAAATACTAAAAATATAATTTTGTCACCCAAACTCCTCCAGTTTTCAAAAATTTCAAGCTTAGGTAACTTCCGGAATTTTAATTTTAAAAAAAAATTATACTGAAATAGTTTCTCTGGAGGTAGCGCTTCAATTTGGTATGGATCAAAAAACACTATGGTCGGGCGCTAAAAATGGTAAATGTTTCAAAAAACAAAAAAAAAACTTTTCATCTTTTTAATAGGATGCATAGTTCAGTACTTCAGTACAGTAAAGCTCAAAAACACTGGTTTTACGAAGTCTTCTTTAATCGTGAACACCATTTACTATTGAAACTGCCACTCCAAACCATTGAAATTGAAGTAAAATTCCCCGAAGGCCCCAGTAAAAGCTGGAAGGCCCCAGTAAAAGGCCCAAGATGTACTGAGCAAGGTAACCCAGTAAAAAAATGACGTAAAGTTAAGGTAACCGACCAAGGTATCCCATTGATTATTTTTATTTTCGGCCTGACTTGTCATGTTTTTTTTTGGCCTAAAGTCCATCGGCTAAATGGCCGCTACCCTGGACAGACGTCGACTTAACCTAGTAATAATAATGACAAGACGTTTTTTATCATGTTTCTTCAATTTTAAGCCTTTTTTGTTAAAAGTTAAAAAAAACCGAATTGAAAAAAAACTGAAAAAAATTTGATACCAACTAAAATTACAAAGCCCACATTAATATAAAACAAAATGAAAAGATGACTTTTTTTGAAAAATAATGGATTATAATCGATTAAAAAGTATTTTGATCAACCAAACTGGTTTATAATTTTCAAAAATTTGAAAAAAATGATTACAATCGATTTTAATCAAACCTAATGTTTTTTTGTTTTGAAAAACAGAAGCGTTTAATCCATTTTTAATCAATTATAATCAATTTTTCTTGAAATTTTTGAAGACTGACAAATTTGAAAGCGTTAATAATCATTTAAATTTTTTTTTGAGTCCATTGCCGGCTTAACTTTCAATGTTCACCAAATACTTTTACAGATTCAGACTCACAGGGTTTTTGGAGTCTTCTAATAATAAAAACCTAGTGAATCAGGATTCCGGTAAGTTCAGTTTTGGCAAATTTCGCTCCTTTTTTCCTCCTGCAGAAGTGGCCTGCAAGACAATTTATCGGATGCATTCATTCATCCAAAATTTGATTACCAAGAGCGTATAAAATCAGATGCAAACTTATTAAATTGCGTGTTCGAGCTGTGCTTTTTTGTGTTTTGATGAGGTTTAAACTACCGCGTAATTTTGCGAAATACGACAGAGAAGCCTATTTTGTACTCAAGATTTTAGCAACAATTTGATTAGGAAATTGATTAGGAAAACCAGTTGGACAGAGAAAAGCATAACCACAAAGTAGAAGTGATGTAAGAACTTTAGAAATATTTTTTTCCACCAAATTTAACACTCAAATACGACCAATACTTTCTGCATATTTTTAATCTTAGAGCCTTTTTTGATTCATGCTCTTTCTTAAGTTCTGCATGCAAATTTGCTGGTTATTTTTGAGGGATGGTTACTTTGCCCCTCTCTCAAGCATTGAGCACTTCTCATGGAGGATCTCAAACTCCCGACATTTCCTTTATAAGGCGCTGACCTTAATCATTTCACCACCTAACGTATTTTTAAGTATCAACTGGTATTTTTTGTTTGCAGACATGGCATCGAGGACACATGTACCGTGTCCTTCATGGACTTTGTCACCATAGTGTGTAAGTTCAAGGCTGTCATGGGCGCATGTCGCGAGGACCCAACAGGAGAGAAACTGGTGATGGCAGCACTGATCATGTAGAGACAGATAATTATACAATCATTATAAACATCTATTGTAATGACCCGGCCATCAGTCTCTCAACATTCCAATATATCTAAATAATTTCTGTCAAGCCCGAAATTCATGGTTTTCCGTAAAACTTGTACTAAAAAAATTTGACCAACGTTTTTTTTGGAAGTTTTGGGCACCTCAAATGCAAGAAAAAGGATTTTATTACGACATATCTCTATTTTCAGTTGAGTTTATCAATATAACTTGATTTGGGGCAAGCGAATTTGACACGAATAGAAATCTACCCGTTTCCAAAATATTGGCTTTTACTTTCCATTAAAACTGTTATTTTTTTTGCTGTCCATGGAAGCCTCTTTGGCGGTCAGCGTCTTCAACTGATAGAAAACAAAAAGTTCCAACATTATTTCTAATTCGCTAACGATGAAACGTTACTTAGAAAATTTGTTAGCGCCTTTTTAGAATTAAAGCTTTGATTTGTATCCCAAATGTTGAGACGGTGTTGCAAGCTCGAAAATTTTTTTCAATCGAAAAGTCAAAACCATTACTCGAATTACAAAAATAACTATTTACACTTATTTCTAGAAACTATAAAGTTATCTATTATGCATTTATTATAGTTGATGTTACAATGAATTGAATTTATGTAAAGTTTTTTTTTCTATGAAAGTAAAGCAATAAGACTTAGGATCACATCCATATAGAACAAAAACTGCATGCCTTGGGTAGTTTTGGAATGAACATCTAATGACTTCACAAATACAAGTATCAAAAAATTACAATAACATGAATATTTTTTTTAAATATATCCCTATTGCAAAATGGAAAGTTCGTTACAAAGATGGGATCTTGTTACCTATTTCCCCCCCCCCCCCCCGCCCAATTTCGATTTTCAGAGATTCAACTTTGAAGGCCACATTTTCAGTAGCTTAAAACAATTTTCCATTACGAGGCCAAGCTGTGCATTCTGTGCATTGTATGCGGATTCCACAACAGGTCAAAATCAGATTTGGTCGCAGAATCCGTATCATTGCCATTTTTTTGATCTACTCTGCTGTTATGGATTCCACAAACAAATACTTAAAACACTGTTCCGCTCAAAATCGCTCCAAAAATAGACGAATTTGCGGAATCCGCAACCGTATTTGCGGAATCCGAAACAGTTAGTGGAATCCGCATTTTGTTTGCGGATTCCGTTTACATATATGTATGTATGTAGTAGCGTTTAAAATTATATCTTTTTATTACATGATTTGTTTCCACCAGAATAAAAATTTACTAGATCAGTGTTTGGGATTAATGGAATCCCAATTACTGACCAGTATTTAAGATCGATGAAAACCCAAATATTGAACTAAATTGACAATTTGCTATGTGTTGGGTTTCTAATCACTCTCCAAATAAATATTTTATTCCATATTGTTCCAGTTTTAGGATTCTATCCATCCCAAATAATGACCAGTATTTGGGATCGATGGAATCCCAAACACTGGTCTATTTTTGCGATATGCTGTTTTGTCTTGTGTTTTCATACACTCTAAACCCGATGACTACAATTACTGAATTTTTTCGGCGTTGTGTTTCCGAAATCAGTATTTGAGATTGATGCAATCCAAAATGCTGGCCTAATTTGGCGATATGCTATGTGTTGTATTTCCATACACTCTCAACTCAATGACTCCAAATATTGAAAATAATCGGTTTTGTGTTTCCAAAATACTAAAAGATGACATCCACCGATTTGGGTAAACAATGAGACTTGTTCGTGGGCTCTGCTGACAATGGTTAAATCGTTGCTTTTAAATTCCGCATTGCTAGAGATAAGAGTTCCAGCTCAGCTTTCAATTGTTCATATGCAGTTCAGTATTGAACAAAATTCGGAATTCACTTACAGTTTACGGAATCCGCCTACAATTGCGGATTCCGCATACATTTTGCGGAATCCACTTACAATTGCGGAACCCAAAACAACTAGCTATATACACAGTTTGGCCTCGTAATCTCAGAAAATATATTTAATTAAAATTTTTTACGTAGGTATTATACAAATAGTGACTAATACAAATACGAACGCGCAAAAATGAAAACCCAGTTAATTATTGACCTTTTTGAATTACATATTTTATTCAGAAATGGTTGTCAAAAAATATGCATAAAGAAGGGAAATAAATAACAAGGTTCAAAAGGGGGGAGTGTTAACAAGATCCCAAAGATGTACAAATATAGGCTTAAAGATGTAAAAAGATACGTAAGCGCATATCAGCCGGCACCGAGCACCCATTGATCATAATCGATTATTGTGTAATAATATGGTCGGCATCTATAAAATGACAAAATAATGGATCATAATCCATTAAAAAAGAATTATAATCCTAATAATTTTTTTGCCAATAAAACCCATTATATTGGATTATAATCAATTATAATGGATTTTTTCGAGGGGTTACTCATGAAATTTACAATTTTTGCTCAAAGTGATCTCTTTTCGTTTTTAGTGCAGTTGCTACGTATAACGTTTCAGAAAATGTTACATTTCAGAATAAAATTTATATTTTTTCTCCCTTTTTTTTAATTCAATCCTTTTTTTTGATTCAACGTTTAATTTACTGCCCCCAAGTTTGATACCCCCCCCCCCCCAGTTTACCCCACTCCCACTTTAACCCCCCCCCCCCAGTTTACCTACCCCCCAGTTTACTCCATCCCTTTAGTTGAGGGGGGGGGGGTGAAACGCTTGAGGGGGCGAAGGGATGACGTTGTGACATGGCATTTAGAAAAAGGCATGGCATACATTCTGCAAACTTCTCGCAAACTTTGCTAAAATTTGAAAATATTCGAACTTAGTTCTAAAAATGAAATGGATTATAATCGATTATAATGGAATATGGTGGATTATTTTTTTCAAATTTAATCGATTATAATGGCAATATATTCGATTTCGTGGTCTGAATTGTACATCTGTAATGGGTTATAACGGTTTTTTTTGTCTCGGTAACCCATTATAGTCAATTAAAATCCTTGGGCGCTCGGTGCGGCAGTTTTTTTATCATAATTTGATTCTTCAAAAAAATTAAAAACTCTTCATTCAGCACCATACAAGGTGAGTGCTTTTTTTACAAAAAAACCAAAACATAATTTGAAATAAAAGTTTCACGGATTTTAATATAGGTGGTTATATAACTTATTAGTTTTGTCGAAAGAAAGGAAATTATTGCTGCTTATTAATTGAAAGCAAAAATTACTAGCCAAAGAAATCCCATTTTGCAATACCCGAACCGGAGTTCTATGGATAATAATCGATTTTAATGGAAAATTTTTGTCTGAACTGTTGTCATTTTATTCCTTTATAGTTGCAAAGTTAGACCGCAAAATTGATTACATTGTCGTTATAATCGATTAATTTCGTAAAAACATAATCGATTTAAATCCATTATTATAGATAATAATGAATTATAATGCATACATTTTTTTTGCAAAACTTTTCTGCGTTATTCACAGCCTACTCGCAATCTAAACCTAGTCGAACTAACTTCCTCCTCCCACTCCCCTACGTTTATCCCTACGCCCAACCCCATGTTTACTAAACCTTATCCCCAACCCTCCCCCCATCCATAGAACTCCAATGCAGGTAATCTTTCTATTATATCGGAGCTGATTTTATATATAATGGTGTAATCCGGATTCATTTGTCATGGAGCAGCCGAATGATTAAAACCGGATGTCAAAAAAATCAGAAATAGGTCATAATAAACTTTCAAAGATTCTCAAAGCATCAAAGAATCTCAAAGCAAATTGATAAAGGGCTTCCGACTATACAAGGCCAATATTAAGTTTAAAATCAACAGATAATAAAAGCAGACTATTTTCCAGACACTACATGTTATGGGAATAGTAGGTCTTCGGCTTAAGGCATTATATTCAGCGAGTAGAAATTTGTGAAAATGTTAAGCTAACTGCTTGACTTAAACAAAGTATTTCCTATGTCATGATAACACTCTATTACAAACGAGTGAGGTTTTGCTCAGTCTTTGAAGAAATTTCTTCAAAAATGAAGATTGTACATGCTTGCCCGTGCATGATTGTACATCCATGCATGATTTGCATGGAAAATGACTAATCATGCGTAGCACATACGTTTAATTCGAAAATCCTCAAAATAGCTTTTTGGCGGATTCAAATAGTGATAAAACGATTTCTCATCGTTATGTAAGCTGTTGGTTAGATATGAAAAATTTTCATGATGCAAATCATACGTCGCAACATATATGGTGCTGCGTATGGAAGACAATTTTCACAATTTTTTTTTCTCTGAAAAATTCGAAAAAAAAATATTTAAAAAACGTATCTTTTGTACACGAACACTTTTATTGTGTTATGACTTTTTTATCACCATGCAAACCATACGTCGCAACACACATGGTGTTTCATATGAAAACTATTTTTTCATGAAAAAATTCGAAATTTGAAAAACCAACAAGCAAAAAGCTTTAACGCAATATCTTATTATCGAAACTTTTTAATAAGTGAAAAGTGTTGAGATATCTGATAAAAAAATTTCTTCTATTGACAAACAAAAAAAAACATTTTTTTTCCAAAATCTGTCATCTAAGCAAAAATAAGAGACAAGTAACATTAAAAATAGCAACAAGCATGCTCGTTTTGCTGCGGCTACTTAATTTAACCAATTGAATTTCATAAACCGGAAAAAATATGTAATTACTTGAATTTATGATTCAGTTTCAAAAGTTACATATTCTTTAGGATTTCTAATTTTTAACTTCAGCAGTATCAAGGTGTTTTGAATTGCAACATTGCCAAGTAGACCGAGAAGCATTGATTAGATGCGTGAGGCATTCGGAACACAGGCAAATTTTTGGGAACAATTTAGCGAAACTCTCTGCACAGTGCCGATGTGTTTGGGTCGGTAGGAGGAATCATTATTATGTTGCACAAGCGTTTATCACTAAAGCTGCGGTGTTTTTAAGAAGCAAGCAAGCATGTTGTTATTTTTTGAGGTAATTAGGTTCTTGCAAACTCTTTTAAGTGGCTCAGGTTAGATGGGCAACACTTCTGAAGCTTCGTGTAACCCAAAAAATTAGTGCGTTTTTCTATCGTAACAAAAACGTAGGGAATCAAAATATGAAGCACTTCCAGAAGATCAAAAGGAAATGATTTTCAAA